ACTGGCTGGCTGGCACATTTTGCGTTGAACTCAATATGTGTTCAGTTTTTCTTGCCCAGGAACTGGTGTCTATTTTGTAACACTCGTTCACAGATGAAACATTGGTGAGTTTGTGTTTATTACAAGTTTATTTTCTCACAGTCTTCAATTAAGTTTATTTTTTATAGGAAGAGCTCCATTCTAAGATAATCGGATATGTAGGTATTATGTCAACAATGTGTTTTGCACACTGTATTTGTTTTTATCAATTCTAGCAAGATCAGCTTATATCGACCATATTTGATTCTATTACAAATTCAATACATCTTGTCGCTTTTTACTGCTATTGTATTCACTTTTTTTGTCACCACTTTTGAAAAATATAAAAGAAGTTGAATGGTGAAACGTTGACCTTGTCATCTCACTAATTCTGGGAGAGTTGTATTTGAAAAGTAGTGCTGAGTAGGTGAGTTGTGTTAGCGCAGTATCATGCAACAAGGATTTGAAAGTCATACACGACGCTTTGACACCTTAATCAATAAACTTTGCAGATCACTTTAATTTTCTGTAGCCCAAGTTTTAGCCAATTTATTGACCATCCTACAGTGCAAAAGAATATCTTGGGGATCATAGTCAGTGTTTGGCCTGCTGTCACTTACATGTACTTTGATAAGCCAATTAAATGTAAAAAATATTTTTTCTAGGATAAATGAAATAGTACCGCATTGTAAAGTGGGAGGATAAGCAATAACACTGATAAAGACAGCTGCTGATAATCATATTGAAAAAAGTGTTGGATTTTGATTTCTCTTACATAAAACAAGCACCACCACTCACTAACCACCCACCCCTATCAAATGCACTCCCCTGATTTGCAATTATCACTAGTTTAACAACTGAGGTGGGTAGAAAAGTAAAATGTGGTCAATAGCAAACACCTTCTGGCTCTAGTGGAACTTGACAAGCATCTGCTGCTTTTTACCAGTTAGTGAAAGTCAATTTGAAGGTGAAGGTCAAATTTTCTTCAGTTCCTCCATCTTCCTGTTGGAGCATTTCTAATTCTACTAACTTCTGATAAAGTGAAACCTTTACTAAGAGGACACCTTTAAGACCCTCCTAAGTGTCCGCTTAACAGTTCGTAAAAATTGTGCAATGTTTGTCAACGATTGGCATTCAATGGTTACTCTGTACTGTGATAAAGTTCCATGTTCTTAAGGAAGCTACTGTATACAGAGGTTAGACTTTGATTGCAGATGACAATCATACGGCCAGATGTCAATCTCATCTACAGTTATTGGCAGCTAAATGCATCAATTTATCTTTATTAATCGACTACAGTACGTGTTTCAAGGATGTAATCCAATACTACAGTTGTCAATTCAGTCCAGTGTCTGCTTAATAGAGGTTTTTAACAATAGAAATTAGCCAAATACAATTTATTTTAGTGTCTGCGTCTGCTTAATGGAGGTGTCCGCTGAATAGGGGTTCGTTATAAAGGGAAATATAAGACGTTAATTTCAGTACTTGGCTTAGTTTCCGCTGAATAGGGGTTCATAATAAAGGGAAATATAAGATTTTAACTTTGGGACCCAGCTTAGTGTCTGCTTAATAGAGGGTGTCCGCTGAATAGGGATTCATTATAAAGGGAAATGTAAGACGTTAATTCCGGGACATGGCTTAGTGTCCACTTGATAGCAGGTGTCTGCTTAATTGGGGTTCACTTAATAGAAGTTTCACTGTACTTCAAAATGGCCAGGCCCTCGTATCCATGCTCACAGCACTTTTTGGAGATGGCTGAAGTTGCAAAAAATATTTCCTTGAAACCCAGAGTCGCCGAAATTTCCATTCTCTGCGAATGAAGTGCAAAATCTATCGACGCTCTTGAAGCAAACAGTTACCAGTTTACTGCGGTTTTTACAAACATGCGAACTCACAATTGCGTTTTTCACTGCTGTCAATCATAATTACGATCACAAGCAACGAACCTTGAAACACAAAAACACACAAAACGGATCGAAATCCACCAATCACAAATCACAAACCTTGACCTTTTGAACCCATTAAAGTAAAGTTTTGTTTCCTAAGAGGTCCGTTAAGATGATTGACAGCAGCGAAAAACGCACTCGTCAGTTGGCTTTTGAACTTCACAATTCGCACGTTTGTGAAAAGCGCAGTAATGCTAACTTTCACTTTAAAAGCTCAAAGCTGGAATGCACAAAAACTCCTTGTCTTGTTTTGCCGTAAAACTTTGGAATGAGATACCTTGTCATATTACCCTTATTCGCAATTTAACCTAGTTTTCTTAGTATATAAGTTTAATAGTTCTATAATTTTATGCAGTTTTTCATTTACTATATCATTTTAAACACTTTTATATATAGTTTCCAAGCTTGTTAATTCTCTTTTTCTTTTCATGACTGACCTGTTAGCTAGCTTTATAGCTGAGTGTTAGTCATGTTAATAATGTATGTATGTACGTATGTATGTATGTATGTATGTATGTATGTATGTATTAATAATCACAGGAGTTCAGGCTTCAGGAGTAATCATTGATCATTCATTGCGACAGTGCTGTTTCATATGGTCCGAAATTGTAGGACCACACTCATTAGGCAACTTCAACGATTGACCGTTAAAATTAAAAGCTGGCAGTAAAATTTCGGTGGTTGTTATAGGGATGTGTTAAGAGTTGAGCACTCTACGAAATACGTTCTACCCAGAATACAAGTATGTATGTATGTACCGTATGTATGTATTAGAGATCTTCCTAAACAAGAATTTTCGAAAGTACTTCATGGATTGCTTTCCGATATCTTAAAAAGAGAAAATGACTGTATTAAGACGCCACTGATACTTGACAAAGTTGAATTAAAAGTTAAGTAATTTCTGAATAAAGTTATATGCTTTCCACTTTCCATCAATATTTCTTTTTCATTTTTCCTTAGATGTAATGGTAATTAAAATAAAACTATGACAGAAATAAGAATTATTGTAACTTAACATATTTTCCTTACTTTCCTTTCATTGTATTTTTCTTTTAACTGGTCCGCCTAGATTAGCAATTGCTATTTTGTGGGCCAGTCTATTGTAATACTATTTTTAATAAATAAAGTTGAAGTTGAAGTTCAAACATTTTCAAAACTTCCCACAGTGGTAAAACTCTTTGATGATAACTTGCTTTGTTTTCAAGTTCATTTGATTCGAACTTCACACCGCCCTGGGGCCAATATACTTGTTCAAAGTTTACAGAAATATCGGAACTGAGGGTGGTAACAAAAATCAAAGTCCCCACCCTTAGTCCTCGGTCCCACTGCTCTCTAGGTATAAAACTGTACATTCATAAGGTGCATATTAAACAGACAGAAACAGGAATTCCAGGCTTTTCAACCTGTTGTATTGGACTTCACATTTTCCAAATACCATTTGCATTAACATGTTAATAATTAACAAAGTTATATACAAATTATTTGTATATAACTTTGTTTCTTTTTTGCTATTTTCAAACAAAATTATACAGGTAAAACTGTATGTAGCAAAAACAAATTTGAACAGCTTCAAAACTGAAAAACAGCGTGCACAAAATAGAAATCCTTCATGTTCAGATCAGACTATAAATTCCAACACAAGAGTTTCTTGGCCTCGACAAAAAACGTCAGAAATATCATGATTTATGTTGACAGAGAATATTTAACCTTGGTAATGAACAATCAGTGGTTTCGCAACAATAGAAATTGACCGACTTTCCACTAAAAACGCAAAATTTATCTCGATCTCTTAAAATAGAAAAATTCAAGAAACCAAGTGGTCGGTAAAGGGTCTAACATTAATCAGTTTCATTAATTAGTCTAAATTTATTGCTTTTTGACACGAACTCCTGCGGGCAAAACATGTGCGATTAGCGTAAATTAAAGATTTTTTATCTTGAATGACTTTTGTTTCTGTTTAAGGATATTAAACATATCAAGATGTTAAGAATTTTCGAACTTATTGACTTTTGATTGTTCATGACGAAAACCTCATTTGAGTTCGAAAATTGGGTTATTGTCGACAAAATCCGGCGTTTTGTGGTCTACAAATGTTACACGCACATGCTATTTTTGTATGCAACTTGTTACCCGTCAGATTAAAAACTCAAGCATTCATTTATACCTTTGTTGGAATGGAAACAAATGATCACGAATCAATAAATTTATACTGTATAAGCAGTAGGAACGAACCTACGATTATTCTTATGTTCGCTACAATGAAAGAAGATCGACTTCTTTTGATACAATTTTCATTCTAATTTGGATTGTGTAATGAGCGCCAGCACCCACTTCATGGCCGTCTATTTTTACCGTACCAGTATGAAATACACTTATTCCGCTTTGGGTAGATAACTACTACTGCAAACCACCAATTTTGTTGGTCAAATCCGTAGTAACACCGCCAAAACAAAGACTTAAATGGGCATTCACAAATTAAAACCCATCATTACTAGTTGCAAGACGGCATAATTTCGGTTAAAGAAATGCTATTCTTTTACGCAGTTTGCTAATTGTTTGTGTTTTCAAAGGAACAAGGTATCCCACAGCTGTTTAAATATTTCAGTCTCTATGAACCGACATTTTGAAATACAGTACCTTAGAACGGATTAAGAAATATCCCGTAACCGCTGAAAGTAGATTTGTGAAGGAGGATGGAAGAAGTGGATATCGATTTCATACTGGAAATGAACGATGTGTGTTACAAATGTAAAATGCTTCAGTAATCGAGCCGGTGCTTCGATACCGCGCGAGAAACCAAACAAACTAAAAACCATTTAGTATACAATCAGATAATTTTCTATACACAGGCGGAATCGATAGAAGAAACACTGTAAGTCGGCGGATAACATTGAAAATTCCGGAAATGATCAACCAAGTGTACGCGCTTTCATGCAATATAAATATTCACACCCACAAAAACCAAACTAAGTGTTCATGAGATACCCTAAAATGGGGAAAATAAACTTTGCACAAGATTGCAAAAACACTTAATGATCAACTCACCGTGTTCGCTAACTCCAAGAAATTACTTGATCGAGACTGTCCCTTAGAATTGGCCACAGACATAATCTGTTGAAGAGTTGGGTCGCCGCTTAAATCATGTGCACCGCTGTCGATTTCCCAGCTCTCTCTACCGGTCGACTTCTCGTTCATTTTATTTGTGTTAATCTCGTCTTTTGAGATATCCTCCGTCACATTCGGCTTTTCAAATTCTTTGGTTTTCAAAACTTGTTCTCGTATATGTTCCAGCGACACCAAACCATCGCCGTTGTCAGAACCCAATTGTTCGATGATCCCTTGAACACTGTCCTCTTTAAGCCTCAACTGCTTGCATTTTATCGACAGGTCTGGGCTGTGAATTCACAAGACAAAACATAAAGATAAATAAACCCCCGGTAAGCCGGTGAAACGCTGCCAGCAGTATTAAACAGCGGCGAAATGATTAAACAAAATCGACAATGACAAGCAGTATGAAAGACAATGTTTTGTCACGTAATTCCAACAAAATGCAATGACCCGAAACTCGACCGCGGTTTGACGGGTCGGCGGTAAAGCATACTCTTCTTACATTCAAGAATCTTAAAACTTTTAATCCTCCAGACGTAACGGCATACCTCTCAAGAAAAGCAGTAGTGATTCCTTTATCCCTTGCGTTTAAAATCTTACGAAAGCTTTCTTCCAAACTTTCACTTGATGTTCGCCTTGAACTCGCGGACGAAAAGGAAACCGACAACCCATTTTCGTTGTCACTCATAATCAAGTTGGCGTTTCCCTGGTTTTCATATGTTAAATTCCCCTCAGGTAATCCAAAAAACTTTCCCTGAAAAACGTTTTTACATCCATGAAGAAGACTTTCCTCGTAAAAGGAATGAATGTACAACTTTTAACTGCGGGATGCCAAAACGTGATTGGTTACCAAGCGGTCAACCAAGCGGTAAGGCCCTCGTATTTTGAGACTTTCCGGGGAGGGTATAGGTCATCATCCAGATCCATTTCCGCTCAAAATTTGTAGTTATCAAACACAATAAACGCCTACTTACACGATAATATATTTTTACGCTACAATTATTACCTGTGTTCCTTTTACTCAAGAAATTACTATGGAGATAAGATCAATTTAAAAGTTTGAAAAAAAAATTGCCTGACCCTACCCCCAAAGAAACATAGACTTGAAATTACGTACAGGAAACAATTTCCTTTCATTTAGGGAAGGCTATTCACTAAATATACAAGCTATTGTTTTGCAGTTGTAAAGAAAGGCAGGTAGAAATTTCTAGAGCACAATTTTTCTTTTATCAAAAAACATCAAGATAAGCATTTCATGAGAAAATAAGACATAAAAACAACAAACACCAAGACAAAACAGAAATTCATCGGAACAACTTGGAACAAAGTAAGCTTCATATGTTAGTTGTTTGATCTGTAGAAGGGACTTAAAATTAATCTGTCTCATTAGACAACTGAAAAATAAGACATGTGTGATGTGAACTTTATCCCACGATTTTTAAGGTTACTGTTTCTTTGGATAAAGCTCTTTGAAAATAGATTTATACAAGAGAGATTAGTTATATTTTCTTTCACGCACGTCTGCAAAGTATCAAGCTTTTGTCTACCGAAGCCGGAAAAAGGGCCCTTTATAGAATTTATCCCCAAGAGGGAATTTCAGTATACATACTTCGGTAGTCTTCACAAAGTGACACCTCAAGTAAGACACATTTTAAATTTTAAAAGCAAAATAAAATGATTGAGCCTAACGCAATAAAAAATCTTAAATATTAAATCATTGCCTAAAATAAATAAGATTTCTTATAGACCAGACAACAACCTACTCGTTTATTTCTATGAGACTTTTCCGTTAAGACAAGTGTAATATCTTGTTTATGCTTCACATACTGAGAGTAGTACACCCCCGGAGTACACACCCGTGGGACAGAGGAGATGGAAATTTGAAACGTCGCCAATATACCGTTCTACGGTTTTTTCAACTTTTGAAATGGACCAGTGAGAGAAAATCCGTCGACACCAACAAGTAGAGCGCCTGAAAATTAGTACAACTGCCAAATTTGAAAGTGATTCAGCGAGCGAAGTTTCGACAATTTTCAGACGTTTGTATGGTGGGCGCCATCACACAAATGTCTGTAAAATTTCGCGACTTTGTGATGTATGTAATATCTTCGTTAGTTTTCAAACTTGGCAATTTTGCTAATTTTAAGGCGCTCTTTTCAGAGGTGTTGATGGATTTCCCTTACTTGTCCATGAAAAAAAAATTGAAAAACATCGTGGAATGGCCTATTTATGGGTCTTCCAATACTATCCTTTGCAGATAATTCTTTTGAATTCAGTGACTCTAAGTCCGTGAATTAGGTAAGAACGCAAAACCGGAAAAGGTCCTGGGAGACCGAGCAGATTCAGTATAAATATGTTCGCTAAAAAACACACTTCATGTTGAATGTCGGTGTAGGACAGTTTTTACGTCTCCCGGGAACCGCGGGAACGCCATTTTACCGGGAAGCACCAGCGGACGTCAGAAAAACCGGGTGGAAAAAGTTCCCAATACTAGTAAAACCTATTCAACAAAATCACTATAAATAAAAGGCAAAAAGTTCATTAAAACCTTGTTTATTACCTGAAGTGCGGCAATAAGCAGGGGCACCCAACGAGAATATAGTTCAAAACCACTTAAACATAGCATTGTTAAACGTATTTTAGTATTTAAACGGTAGATATAGGCATATTTTTATCCCCTAAAAAATTTTTCATCTGTTCGGATTTCCTAGCTGAAAGTCTAGTGATCCGAAAATTATAGGGATCAAAAATTACCTTTTCGAAAGTTTCAGCCAGAAATAAGGCTCCCGAAACTTCTAGGTGACCTTTTTAGGGTAAAAATTCGTTAAAAGTGGGCAATTATACCATTTTTTAGATGTTCGAAAATCCTATGAGAGGAAGGCAGCCAAGCAAGAAATTTTACAACAAATGTTCCGAAAATTCTAGATCTCAAATGGTCTTCCGAACGGATATTTTCCGAAAATTGGCGTTTTGTGCCCCTGAATAAGGTTAAGATTAATTATTAGTATTAATTATTAGTATTAGTATTAGGCAAGGGTTTGTAACCGGGGGGGGTACAGTCCAATGTTTGAGTGCAGGGGTGCCGCTGGCAGGTTGAAACAGTCACCCGAGTGTGTGGATCAAGTAACCATACTACCCTAGTAAAACTCTCTATTTTCGCAACCTAGTTAGGACAATGGACAACTTCCACAGTCTCTCGTCAGTTGCAGACGAAAGTGATCCAATGTTGACAGGTGAGCCGTTAAACAAATACAGTAACGTTTCCGATTTTGTATCGCTAAATACTCGACGACAGTCTCGCAACTATATACCCTATACTCCAGGATTAACTAGGATGGTTCCAGACAGTACAGATTGAGGGCACAGGGGTGAAAAACTGTACATGACCCTATCTTGTAGCTGTATCATTAGAAGACTACATACCCTCGAGTTAAGTTGTGTTATCAGAATGTAAATAGGGATGGCATATATTATGAGGTGTACCTGTCTCTGGATAGAATCCAGCACTATTTAGTGGTCTGCAAACAGTGTCCTTCATGCAGTCTTTAATAGATCCACTGACATTGTAAGGGATTTTACAAAATTTCGCTACGTAAACATGATTTTTGAAACTAAGTTTACTTGACTCAAGTAACAACACAGCATGTGGTTTAACACTGTTCGGTGAACTAATTTCAAATACAGGATTCTGTCTTGTCAAATATCTGTGATAACAGCGATCCTTAGTTTGGGTTTTGTTTTTTGTAAGTTTCAATAATAATGTTATTTTTACGTATTGTAGCCCTTCTTAATAATACCCCCTATCTCTCCCAATCACAGACCTTAACAGTCAGGTGAATGTTTAAACAGAAATTTGTTTGCCTCAATCGTGCAATCCAACCGTGAAAACGGCTGGTGAGNCGTTAAAAGTGGGCAATTATACCATTTTTTAGATGTTCGAAAATCCTATGAGAGGAAGGCAGCCAAGCAAGAAATTTTACAACAAATGTTCCGAAAATTCTAGATCTCAAATGGTCTTCCGAACGGATATTTTCCGAAAATTGGCGTTTTGTGCCCCTGAATAAGGTTAAGATTAATTATTAGTATTAATTATTAGTATTAGTATTAGGCAAGGGTTTGTAACCGGGGGGGGTACAGTCCAATGTTTGAGTGCAGGGGTGCCGCTGGCAGGTTGAAACAGTCACCCGAGTGTGTGGATCAAGTAACCATACTACCCTAGTAAAACTCTCTATTTTCGCAACCTAGTTAGGACAATGGACAACTTCCACAGTCTCTCGTCAGTTGCAGACGAAAGTGATCCAATGTTGACAGGTGAGCCGTTAAACAAATACAGTAACGTTTCCGATTTTGTATCGCTAAATACTCGACGACAGTCTCGCAACTATATACCCTATACTCCAGGATTAACTAGGATGGTTCCAGACAGTACAGATTGAGGGCACAGGGGTGAAAAACTGTACATGACCCTATCTTGTAGCTGTATCATTAGAAGACTACATACCCTCGAGTTAAGTTGTGTTATCAGAATGTAAATAGGGATGGCATATATTATGAGGTGTACCTGTCTCTGGATAGAATCCAGCACTATTTAGTGGTCTGCAAACAGTGTCCTTCATGCAGTCTTTAATAGATCCACTGACATTGTAAGGGATTTTACAAAATTTCGCTACGTAAACATGATTTTTGAAACTAAGTTTACTTGACTCAAGTAACAACACAGCATGTGGTTTAACACTGTTCGGTGAACTAATTTCAAATACAGGATTCTGTCTTGTCAAATATCTGTGATAACAGCGATCCTTAGTTTGGGTTTTGTTTTTTGTAAGTTTCAATAATAATGTTATTTTTACGTATTGTAGCCCTTCTTAATAATACCCCCTATCTCTCCCAATCACAGACCTTAACAGTCAGGTGAATGTTTAAACAGAAATTTGTTTGCCTCAATCGTGCAATCCAACCGTGAAAACGGCTGGTGAGAGTCGTGAAGGAATTTGTAATTGTAATCCTCAAAAATAGCCGTCTCGTGCCAGTCTGACGGGAAACTGACGGGAAAGCTTTAAGATAAAAAAAGAGGGAACATCGCGATAGTCACAATTTATAAGAAAAAGGTGCAATTCTATGACGGTAATTTGGCTTAAGTGTCATTCGTATAGTGTCTAGAAACTAGACTGAATTCTGCCTCTTTTCCTTCCCAGGCCCTTAGGTTTTTTACATCATACACGAAAATATGCCCAGATTATTATACAAGTTACGTGTGGACAAGGTCAGCCAATATAAAAATTTGCCACAGGCCTAGACTGGAAAACGTTTGACGAGTCCTGCTATTATTTTCCCTTTTTTTCATACAGTTTGTGGATTATTTGTGTTTGTTAATGCATTGAATCAAGTCGATAGCCCTGCGATAGTCTCGTTCGCGTAGCACCTAAATATAAACTAGAGACCAGACTTCACCCAGGCCGTCCAGGTTTAAGCTGAATATGCGCAGATCATTAATTATTAAATATACAAGTGGACAAAAGTTGTATTTGAAAATACGCCAAGACTAGATTGACAACATTCTACTTCCTTTAATTTTTTTTTCCTTCCTTTAGTTAGGTTCCATGCTTCCAAAATTTATTTGTGTTTGTAATTTTTTTTATTAACATTTTTACATTTTCAGTTTGTTTGTGTTTGTTGCTACAACATATTTGTTGTACTTGTTTTTATCATCACTTGATTTATGACACTCTTAACAACAATTTCCTTGTTGGCACAGTAATTTTTATC